ACCCTCACAAGCAGTCCTGATAACAATTATTCACTGTTGTACCACAAACCACAATAGATCTATCCCCTTTTCTTTTCATCAGCCCCACCCAGACAAATTGGATACTACTCAGTGGAGATTCTATCTTCCTCTGCACCCTCTGGATCTAGGCTCCCTCTTGAAAGCTTATAAACCAGTCACTTCTTGCCTTTGTAGCCCATTTTGGGTAGCCAATGTCCAAGTTGCCCATCCCTGTCTACTCTGTATGGAGGAGGTGGGAATGATCCTCACTGTAAAGATTTATTCCCTCTTTTGATCCATTGCATCCATAGGTGTAGGTCAAGTTCATCAAATTGTATCAGATTACTCTTTTTTTCCTCTTCTTCTGGTTGAGCTCTGATCATCCAGTCATTGAAGCCAGGTCAAGCGGGTATTATCTGCAAGTGTGGGTGTTCTTATGCATATGTCCTCTGTTCTTAACAGCTGGACGCTTCACTCTCCACTCAAGTCCTCTGTGGCTATGTCACTGACTTTGGGCTCAAGGGTCCCCAGGTCTTGACACACTGCTGGCCAAGCAGGTCTCCACCCGGGTTCACAGGAGTCTGTTGAACGTTGTAGGGTTTAGCTCGCCGCTTCATTGCTGTTTGTCCCACACTTCCCCTTATTGGTGATGAACGTGGTCACCAATCCGAGTGAACATGGTCACCAATCCGAGCACATGTCTGCTCATGTATTCCCATTGAGTCTTAGTTTTGGAAGGGGGTTTGCCCTGAGGGGACCCTACCACTTGCAAGGCTCATTGTTTTTTAAGTGAGGAATACTTTTGTAATGCTTTAGAGTTGAGAGCTTGGGTTTTCATTGTTTCTTAAACCAAGTTCCAACTGCATCTTTCTCGTGCTTTCCTGCATGACGAGACACAGCAGTGCTTGGCAGCCTGAGGACAGAGAAGTGCCTTTAGGTCTTCAGTCTGATGTGGACGTGACAGAAAGACCAGCAATTTGATGCCTGTAACTGCAGTTCAAATGTCAATAAGGGGAAAAAGAAGGCAGAATATACTTGGGCTTCAAACTGTTTCAGTTATAATTGGTGAAGTGAAATCAGAATGGATCCGAATTTTTAAAATTTGGGTGAAGTAAAACAGTAGCTGGAACAAGAAAACTGATGAGTCGAAGCCATGGAATGGGAGACTTGGCAGAGCCTAGTGTGTGAGATCGGATTCCTGCCTGGACTGTGGAGAGCTGTCCATATTTAAAGTGTCATCATCAGTAACAATCTTTGAGCCAGGGGATCTCTGTTTTCAACTCTGCTGGTCCTTGTTTTTTAAGCACTGTCTAAGCTTCTAGCAGAGTGTTGACCCACAATTTTTCTCATTCTGGTTATTGTTGCACATTTTACAAAGTTAAATACATTCTAATTTCACTTTGTTGGTCATGACTGAACAGGGAAGAACCAGTTCAAAGCCCAGAAATACACAACCACCACCTAGGACCAGAAGCCCATGAGCAGAGAGCAGTGTTCATCTCCCTTCTGATTTGTTGTCGTTAAAAAGCCAAAGAATGAAATTAAAACTTTATGCTCAAATACTTTAGTAGGGGAAAAAAGGATCTATATGGGATACTTTAGTTCCACTGGAATTCTTAATGACATTTTTTAAAGTTTAGTAGCTAGAATATAACTAAGCGGGCTGATTGTAGAGATGGATATAAATCTTGACTTTATACCTGTACACCACTTGATGATCTGTGTGACTACATTGACCTCTCTGGGACTAAATTTCCTCATTTATAAAATGGGAATAATGTACTCATGTAAAAGAGTGATTTTTGAGTATTAAATGGTGCAGTCTGTTTAAATGTTTAGCACAGTACCTGGAACATTATAAACCCTACTGCCATTGAGTCAATTTTGACTCACAGTGACCCCTAGAGGACAGAGTAGAACCTCCGCATAGGGTCTCCAAGGCTCTAAATCTTTTCAGAAGCCAACTGTCTGTCACATCTTTCTCCTGTGGAGCAGCTCCTGGGTTTGAACTGATGACCTTTTGTTTAGCAACCTAGTGTTTAGCCACTATGTTACCAGACATACAGTAGGCATTAATTATATTCTTGTTGTTAAGCGCCATCAAGTTGATTCCAACCCATAGTGACCCTCTGTAGGGTTTCCTAGGAGCAGGTGGTGAGCTTGAACCTACGACCTTGTAGTCCAATGCATTAACCCACAGCCCTACACCAAGACATTCTAGATATCAGTATTTTAATTATGCTTCGTAATATTATTTCATTGTTAAATGACCTTCATTAGAGGTGTTCAACAAATATTTTTGATTGAGTCAAATTGAGTAAAAGTTATTTCTCCAAAATGTAGGTTATTAGTCACCTTGTCAGAAGTACACATTGTTACATTCTTCTGTTGAGAAATCAAGTTTGACAGACTTCATTTTGATTTGCACCGCATTTTGTCTTTAATGAGAATTGCCTGTCTTTTGTCTATAGTAGGCACCACTATCAGTGTTTGCGCTTTCTCCCAGAAAAGTCCATGTATCTTCATTATTGAATTGGATGAATAGGGATTTAATATTTTCCTTTACTTTTAATTTAATGGATCTTTGTAGTATGGCTCATGGAAAGGAAAGAGGAAATGGGATATGAACGAAAACTTGTAAAATGGTTCCTGTCTTTAAAGACCACTACTGAGAAAGGCTTAAAAATTAATTTACCTCCAGTGTCCACTTCGGTTCTTACATGCAAAATACTGAACTGTTTCTGTGCCCTGTAGTTGGTTGAGGACACTCAGTGTAACTTTGGTTCACCCATAGAAAAACAAATGTGACCTTTGCTTTGTGTACGAAAGTTTAAAGGTTGTGGTAAACACCATTGAGATTTTCATAGCCTAATTACTAATTAAACAGAAGCTTATGAGGCTGTTTGAAGACTTGGGTTCTGGCACAGCTGCTGAGTGTTGGTTAATCTAAGAAGCCCACCTACTTCCAAAAGCTATTTCTTGGCTCCTCTCAGATTCATTTCAGGGTTGGGAGACGGTTATAGACACAGCTGGATTTTTATGTTCATGTTTTATAAAAAGTCAAGTGTATTTGTTGTGCCAGATGCATTTTGGAGGTGTAAATGAAGAGATTAGGGACTCAGTGCGATGAGTAAGTAGAGTGGGTTGTATAGGCATGCCTGGTTAAGTAGTAGATAGGGGTCCGTTGAACAAACAAGTATTGAGCACAACAGTGTACCTGGTGCTGAAGGTAGAAAAATAAACAAGACCTGGTCCAAGATCTTGTTCATTACTTCACTACCTAATAAGGGAGCTAAGAAGTATCAGCTAAGTAAAGCACGTTATGTTAGGTGCTTTTCTAAGAGCTTGAACAGAGTACTTTGGAAGGACAGAAAGTGGAATGGTTAATTGACACCACTTCATAGATGTTTTTGTTAAGTGCTGTCGAGTTGGTACCAACTCAGTGACATAGTATAGGATTTCCAAGGAGTAGCTGGTGGGTTTGAACTGCTGACCTTTTGGTTGTTCACAGTCCAGTGCTTATCCTACATTGCCACGCCAGAATTCCATAGATAAGCTAATTTAAATGAAGTAGGGGAAGTGAGAAGAAAGTCCTGATCCTAAGCATAGGAACAGTGTGTGCAAAAAGCACACTAGGGTCGGGCATACATGTGACATTTCAGGCTTAGTGGTCTTATGTGTGGACCAGGAGCACCATACGAGACATTTAATGAGATTAAAAGACGGAGTGTGGATAAAGCACTTAGCCTATGTTTTATGTTAAGAAAGATAGGGAGTTGTTTGGAACAAGGTTTGAAAGGGAAAGGCTGCAGACTCCACTGAGAGTTCCCATGGTGAGAGCTGAGCGCCGAGCGGTACCTGGCATAGAGAGAAGAGAACACATGGAGACATAGTGGCTGGCTGCCTGTAGTTACCATAAACCAATTTGGGGATTACAGAGAGGAAACAGAAGTGTGGGGCAGAGAATGGATACAAGTATTGGGTTTGGTTTCTGGTGTTTTGAGTTTGAAGGGTCTGTGGGTTATCCGAATAGAGATCATCCAATAGGTCATTCAAAATAAGACAGAAATTTAAGAGAGGTGTGGGTGTGTACGTCATAAAGTTCTTGGGAAAATGGAATAATGGAGCTTTTCCATGAACTTTTTGAAGCCCCCTTGTTTATGAATATATACTATTTACATTTAAAAGTCACCATCATGTAGCTTTGATAATTTAAGCTATGGAAATAGATTCAGCCATGAAAGAGTATTTGGAGTGAGAAGAACTGTAAGAATAATTTTTCGTAGATGGAGTAGCACAAGGCTGGTTGGCCCCTATAAAGTGGAGGTTAAAGACATTCCAAATGTCCTATTTTTGTAAGTTGCTATTCGACCCCATAACCTCTGATAGCAAGCACTGCTGCTCCCATGAATAGTCTCTCGCTTTTCCCTGGATTCCGTAATTCATGACAACATCTCACAGAACTCATGGGCCAACAAGGAAATGGCTCACAGGGCTAGAGAGTCCCACATCTGCAGTTCAAACATCAGTTTGGGTAATTCTCCTCAAGCAGAATCGGCTGTTGACTCACAAGGCTGTGGTAGAAACTGACAAATCAGGCCAAAGGGAGGCAAGCTTAGAGAACAGTCACCATGTTTAGTACGAAAATGTTTTACTCTGTGTGCAAATGCATTCTAAAGTCATATTAAGTTGCTATGGTGTTATTTTATATTGGTTCCGCTTCTCTAGTAATGAAGACATGGAGAGTTGATGTATGGTCTTCAAGCATACCATATTAAACAGCCATTTTTGCCTTTTAGTAAAATTCTGCTTTAAACTCAAGGGTCATAACTGGGTGTTTAGGGGGGGAGGAGGGTTGGTTTTTTTGGATTTCACTAACTGAATGAATTCTGATTATTTCAAAGAATATGGTGATTTTTATCATTATGTGAAACTTCACTCTTTCAAAATGATCATGTTAATACACTGTTAGTCATTTTAATTGCTGTTTCTATCCATAGGAGCTGATGCAACAGAATGGGATTGGTTATGTGTTAAATGCCAGCCATACCTGTCCAAAGCCTGACTTTATTCCCGAATCTCATTTTCTACGAGTGCCTGTGAATGATAACTTTTGTGAGAAGATTTTACCATTTTTGGATAAATCCATAGATTTTATTGGTAAGTAACTCAAGTATATCATAAGTCCTTTAGTATCAGTAAGTGCCTCCTTTTATTTTTATTTTTAGAGAAAAGAGGGCTATTTCAGAGATTCCAGAAATCTAAGAGAGCAGAAAAGCATGATGTCATTATCTTACTTAGAGGTCAAAGGTCTCATCCCTAAGGGACTGGCCATGTAACATTCTAGCTAATTTAATACTGCCTTAGTAGTGTGCGTATTTAATCAACTTGGAATACAGTGAAATTATGGTAGGATCGATGATTATGTGTCACTTAAACTTTGTCATTGAATTTTCCATCTTATTTTTTCAAATCTCTTAAAAGACTTTTTGAATTTGGGTGTGGTATTCCTTAAATGGTTTTTGCCTTGCTACTGTGTGTTCTCCAGAGAAATGCCAAATACTATGAAAACAAATTTCATTACATTTACAGTTTTTATGTCACAAGCTTTCTAAACTTTAATCCATATGCCATTAAATTTCAAGCAGTGTTAGAGCTGGCTATAATAAAATAGAAACTCACACACATTTGACCATATCCTTTCTGTTGGCTATGACAGGATTTGATCTGTAGCATTCAAAAAGTTTGTGGAAAATGGAATTAAAAGATACTGGAATTTTCCCACAAACTTTGTGAAGTCCTCTCATACTGTGCCCTATTTTCTGGGTCTGTTCAGTTCTGGAGCTTCCCTGGCTCCGAGCTTCAGCTGCTGTTGTGACATTTTGAAGCCTAAGGTCAAGTCTGCTGATAGTAAATTAATGAGGTGTCTTGGAAAGTCAACTGTAGTACAGAGTGGCTGAACAGGAAAGGAATATTGCTAGATCTTGAACACCATCACATAGTGTGAGTCCTTGTTTTTTCCTTGATCACATAGCTTTGAACATTCTAATCCATAATTCCATACTTGGTTAGTCATCTTTTAAAAAATAAGAATTAATTTTTGTTTGTGTTTTTTCTCAAAGTGAAATAGTATAAATTAGGTCCCCAACAATATTTTTAATTTGTGAGAGAAATGTTCTAGATAATGCTATTGAAGCTTTGGTAATTCAAAAACAATCTGTTTTCAAGGCTTTCAGATTGGTAAGGGTTTCCATTTAAAAATAAGACTCATTCTGTGAAACATCAATAGATGAATGACTTAGATGATTCACATTAAAATCATCACCAAAAAAAAAAATCTCCAAAATGAATACTCCATACATTCTACTTCTAGGAAATATTCAGCATCCTTTCGGCTTTTGCCTCTTTAAAAGGTAATAATTAATGTGGAGAGATGCAGTGGCTGGGAACTCTAGACCCAGAGAGGGAGAAGGGGCTGTGTGCTGACAGCTGGGGGACAGGCTTGCAGGTTGATTGATGGTGCCTGGAGGGGACTGTAACCATGACACTGAAACGGTATATGATAGGATGAAAACAAAGCTAATTTTCTCCTCCCATGTAAACGATCACATAATTCACAATAAAACATTTAAAAAAACAACTGAGAGGGGGAAGGAGTCTTCATATCAAGGATCAAGCCTATCTCCTCAGTAAACAGAGTTGATAGGGATGGGCAACTTAGACATTGGCTACCTAAAATGGGGGGATTATAGAGGCATGAAGTGGCTGGCTTACAAGGTTTCAAGAGGGAACTTAGTGTCAGAATGAGGGGTGGGGTGGTGTGGGGGGGAGCTAGAATACCCATTGGATAGGGGTGGGGGGGGAGCTAGAATCCCCATTGGATAGTTTTCATCTTGTCTAGATGGGTCTGGGTGAAAGGAGATGGGGATAGGACTCTTAGTAAATAATTGTTATCATGACTAATTGAACTTGTCACAACTGTAAAGGTAGAAGTTTTGTAACATAAAGTGGGGGAGTAGTTCATCTTACATTCTAGGAATAGAGGACCCTGGGACTATCAGAGAGAAGAGCATGAGTGGACTATGGAACCCTATCCAGAGAAGCAGCGACACAGGAGGCAGAGGTAATGACATAGAGAGATAGAGATACAGCAGCTGAGGACTCTAGATTCATGGAAAGGAGAAAGACTGAGTGCTGGGAGGGCAGGAGGCAGGCTTGCAGAATGTGCCCTTTAGTTGTTTAAATGATTACACATCCCTGAGTGGTTTTGTGTATATCAAAACAAACTAAAAACAGGGAATAGAAGCAAATACTATTGAACAATGATGCATGGAGGGATTGTAATTATTGCAGTGAAACAAAATATGATAGGATGAGTGCAAAACTGATGTTTTCCCATGTAAACTATCACTCAATTCACAATAAAAGCTTTAAAAAAAAGACAAAAAAGAAGGTAGTAATTGTGGCTAATGCTACCATTTTTATCACAGTGTTCCAGAGAACACTTTGCTTTTATTTCAGCCAAAACTATAATTTCAGGAAATTTTTAGAAGAAAACCTGGTTCCAGTCATGACAATAAGTAAGCTGTAAAAGACCTAGTAGAAAAGAGATAATATGAATAACATTGTTCCCAACTTGTTTTCTCCTTTCAAATACCACTCTACACTTTTAAATCATACAGAAGGAAATTTACCATGCTCCAAGTTAACTATACACACACATACATCACAGTTTATCATATCTACAGATATTTTTATTTATTTATTTAGAAGTCTTTTACTACCCTTGAGTATATTTACTAGGAGTTGGCAGATCGGGTAGATGTGTGTGTAGTTAGGATCTCCATCATCAACAACACAAGAATACCAGACCAAGCAGGCTCAGGGGATGGTGCTAGAACTCTGAACCACATATAAAGGAATATTTAGAAGATTGGAAGGCTTATAGCTAGGGGATTTCATAGCAGAATCAAATCCATTGCTTTCTAATTCAAGACACTCAGCTGCTCCCAGAGT